ATTCTTGCCGTCCCTAATTGCTTCAGCGTCTATCACGCTACTCCCACCGAGGATTCGCTAATCCGCGTTGTTTCTGATTAACTATTACGCATATATATGAATAGGTGAGTATGTTTGTTGGCAGGATCGGCGTTGCCTGCCACCTGCGAGTTTAGCAGCCAACTAAGTTTGCCAAAATTAACATATTCATCGAATCGATAATTAGAAAAAGAATATAACAATTAGGCAAAAGAATATAACAAGATAACTAGGAAAGGAGAAGAAAACTCGTCGTTAATCTAACTAGGAAAATTGCAGGGGGAAATAATGAAATAAGAGCAGTGATGTCGAATTTGAAGTAGAAAAAAGTGAGACAAATCCCTTTGTGAAACGTGACAAACCCGTGGAATAAGCACAGTGACCACGCGTGGTTGGTCTATGCCAAAGTGAGTCACAGCTAGCGTGAAAAATTGAGAAACGAGCGTGGAAGCCAGTAAAACGGAAGAAGGTTTGTCTAAACGTGGATTATGTAAGTCTACCGAAAATATCGCCGAATGAGTGACGAGTACCAGGATTGGTCCACGATGCCGTCAGTGATTCGAGACACGTATTGGCAATTATTTGCAATGGCGATGAGATCGATAGACATTCGCCAACAACGCATCTGGACAGTTTCGCAATCTAGAATACGATGAAAATTGAAACGGCTGAAAGCTAACCCGGAGCAGGAGTTCGACCGTGTAACTTCGCATAAAATTCGGGCCGTTCGAAGGAGCGAAGAAAGAGGCGAAAACCAGTTTTGCTCGCGCATTTCGGGGATCCAAGCACAATCGTATCGACTTCTTCAACGAGGCAGAGCGGGTACGTCGCATCGTAGCGACAATAGCCAACACAATGTAGATAGGGCGGCACTCGCGTGCATATTTGTCAGTTCGTCAAAGGAACTGTAAAGCGTTTAAAACGGAAACGCGACCAGCTGAAAGGCTGAAAAACGAAGCTCGAGCGAAACTCGATATACATATCCCGACGCGACAAAGAAGGCCAGTGGGAATAGGACAGTGGCTTGGAATTTTCTGACCGGAACTGCACCGACGCGACGCCGCGTCGTGCTTACCCTCGAAGACTCCGGAGCGATGATACAGATTTTCATCGGAGGAAGTCATTGCACTTTATGCTGAATGGGCACCGAGTCAACAACCCGATGCCCGCGCGTACGTGTGCGCACTCGTGTGCCCGACACACCTTTAAAGGGTTTCTCCCCTCCACCGCCACCCCCTGCTGTTCCTTGCGCTCCTCTTCCTGCTTTTCGCGTGATCACAAGAAGAAAACTGTACGTATGACCAAAGAGGAGTTAAAACGAAGAAAAGAGAGGAGAAAATACGAGGGGAACCGGTGGAAGAGGCAGGGGGGGCCGCTGCTAAAGGAGATGAAGAGGGAAGAACGAGAAGGCGGAGAGTGGTCGTGCACGAGGAGAGGAAGAAACGAAGATCGTGCGGAGAGGGAGAGAAACCGGGGCGAAGTGAGAAGGGGAGAAAGGAGACGAGGTCTGGAAATCGCTTCATGCACTGGCGAGCACGAGCCTTCGCGTAATAACGCGATCAGAGGGCAGCCGTGTCTCATGCGTGCACGCACTTCTCTCGTACCATCGCTCTTCTGCTTCGAAGGCAAGCACGCGTGCATAAATGGCGTCGTAATACGCTCGTAAGCAGCGCGAGCGTTCTATTTTTACGTGCGCTGCATCGTGAGAGACCATATTGTGCCGACTATAGGCTCCAAATATTTCGCGAGACGAGAACGGGACGGGCGGACAAACGATGGGTGTGCGTGCCACCGGATATTTGGCAAGAGGGTGCGTCGCGAACTCGCGGCTTCCGATGGAAAACGTCGAGACGCGAACCACCGAGCGAGTAGAGCACCGCGTGTTAATTAATACGACAACCGCCGCGACAAAATCCGGTTTGACGTATAATGCGCCACTAATTGCAGAAGGGAAAATGGACGGAGAAAAAAAAACAGGCGGAAGGGAAAAAATTATAACGAATTCGTTGGTGAAACACGCGCGTCTCGCGTTTGCAATTTTTTTCCTCCTCCTCTCGGCAGGAAACGCTCGATGCACGCTTTGTGCGACATTTTGCGTTTTCATCGAGGCGTGCGGAAACGAAAAAGGTAGAACGAGAACGCGTAACGAAGAAAGAGATTACAGGAGCGGCACAGCAGTCGAGCTGCACCTGTGCATACGCAGGTTCGCCCGTCACGTGGAAAATGCAGCGCTATGGCCCCTGCCCTGGGAACAATGCTGCCTACGATAGGTACACCATTTTCCGTACTAGGGGGGAGGGCACCCGCGAGAGCGACCGCGAAGGAGGGACGAGAAACGGGTTTGGACGACCCGGGGACTTGTACATACACCGCATTTTCTCCCCTTTCATTTGCGATTTCCTCTTTTTTCCAACCAGAATTGTACATTCACGTGCACGGCTGAACGACGCGCCTCAGACTTTCTTAACAAACATCGGGTGTGAATCGTACAAAGACGCGAGTAATTCGTTAACCCCTGAATAAATTCCCCATTCAAACGCTTACACTCTCAAGTGAGAGCTCTCCGCGGGCAAAGAAACCGCACGCGGAAAGAATACCCAGAGGAAGCCGTCGTGAACACCGTTCTGAATGAAATTACTTTCTTACAGGAACGTTGTCGTCAAAAGCGACTTTTCACGTTCTAATCGAGCAGTCAAAGCTTTCAATCCGCGAGGCTCGAAAAACGAGAATAGAAAGAAAACTCCGAATGTGGAACGTGGAACGAATGAGACCGGCTAAGTCCAAATGTTGTCCTCAACTTCCGGTGGAGTGTTCCAATTTCGAATCGTCGGCTTTCGAATCGGTCTCGGCTTCGATAACTTCGTTATCCGCTAGGATAACGTTAAATCAAACGTTACAATTGCAATACTCGTAGAAGACTTAACCAGGAGGATGTGCCTTATCAGAAGGGTATACATTAACACAGGTAATAACATGGTATTCGAACGATCGCCTTGATATCGAGCACGATGTTTGCAATACAGATTGAAAGCACCGGTTGCCACGTAACGCGATATTGCTGGATGTCGTTAGAAGGTACGAAGAAGGTTTCGTAACGAAAGCCACTTTGATGCATTCCCAGATATTACGTTCGGGACAAGCTAGCACACACGTGCATAAATATGAATATGTGCTAGGATTCCTATATATCGCCTGTTCTATTTTCTGAATAGGATTCGAAGTGGATGTCGAGAACTTGTCACACCGTGATTTATACATCTGTCTGCGCCGGAGGACGAGGTCGTTCTCTGTTCCCCTTCTACATGCCTGTCTCTTTAAACCCGTCAGATCCTACCGAGGATCCGAAACGATAAGGAGAGAAGAGGGGAGCTATTTCGACCAGCAAAATAAAGAGAAGCGGTCGAAGAAAAGGCAGCTAGCTAGCTCAAAGGCTAGATTCTCAAGGATAAAGAGAATAGCGAAGGTTACCAAGAACGCGGAGGTATTCGATCGCTGTTCGTATCTCGAAGCCAAGTTTGCGACAGGATGTGCCTGCCGAGCGTGTCTGGCTAAATTATTGGAGCGGAACTTATTTTCAAAATCGTGCTAAGTGTAATCACATCTTCTTCTAACGGTACAACTCGATAAACTGAACGATGAAGTGGTAAAAACTTGGTGGTCTGGTATGATACGTTGAAAAAAAGACGAGAAACGAAACGCGATCGCCGCAAATTAGTTCTCGGTCATGATGTTAAGTGACTCGTTACGTGACGGGTCTATTTTTTACTGCTGTAAAAAATGACAGTCAGAATTTTGCGGACGTTCCCTGGTTCACGCTCGTTTTAGATCTTGAATGCAAACAGGCTCGTTTAGTATATTGAAAATCGTAAACGTCTCCGGTTTGCCAAGTGGTATAGTCGCGGTTGCAATAAATGTCTATTGAAAATATCAGTAAGCTGTTTCCCGTTAATTACAGAGAATCGTGTCACGATGTGACAATTTACGCTAGGTCTCTCTATAATTAACATAAGCTATTCTATGAACAATATTTCACAGATAGTTGGTAAAAAGTACTGGCAAAGCGTGCAAAGTGTTCTATTGTTACACACTCGTGCATTCACCCCCCTAGACGGAGTCGTTCGAATGAAACGCAACTTCAAAAGCGACGGAAGTCCGTCGAGAACCCGTATAAGAGGGTTGCTCAGTGGTTAGACCGCTCGTTAGTATCAGCTGGTTGTTGTTCAAAAATAACCTTCCTAGTCGACAGGACAATCGCTAAATTAACGAAGCTCTTCGCGTGGAAAATCATCTATGAGCTTTAAATACCTCGACCGTTCTGGAATACCGCAAAAGCTCGGAGTCACCCACCGTATTCAACGGCGGGACGTTGATGAAAAAATAGGAAATCGTGAAAATCTACGCCATGATCATTGGACCGATACAAGTACGACATTAGCGTATTTTTCAAAGCTTCGCAAAAGTCAAATACGTACTTCTCTGGTTACAAAGCGGCTCTTATTGAGTTCAAAGTTAACAGAAATGTAAATACCTACGGTAGCTGTTCCTAATCAGTTAATACCCGAGCTTCGCAGTACTGCTTGACTAAGCAGACCGTGATAATAATCGATACTTTGCGCGATTTATGTATGATGCTTGAATTGGCCCGATTGCTTCTACAATTTACGAGTATGTTCCTGATTCATTAATCGTTACGCCAAAATATACCGCGAGCTAACGAGAAACTGGGACAACCTTCTGATAATCCGGAATCATCGAATCCCTAACAGTGTCCAAGAACAACAACCGACCGATAAATGAAACTTGCATAGCCGCACAAGTCATTTCACGCTCGCACGATCGGATCATATATAGACTCAAGATACTTTTAGTTGTTTTGCTTTTCCGCGTCGCTGAAATGCCTTTCAAGAATCGTACACGCAACTCTTTTAGATTCTTTACTCTTTCGATATGAATGAAAGAGCTGGAAGGAGATCGTGACTTACCTGTACATCAAAGTGCGTGGTAGTGTCTTGGGGCTGCGGAGGTCCCTGTTGTTGTTGTTGCGAAGGCGGCGGACCCTGCGGGGGTGGTGGAGCCTGTGCACCAAAGAGCTGAGCCGCATGCGAATGTGGGTGCTGAAGATGATGCGTCGGCGGTGCCTGATGATGTTGCAAGTGGTGCGGTGGAGCCGGTGCGAATGCGGCCATAAAATGTTCCTCGCTACCAACCACATCCACGCCTTGTTTTAACAGCACGACACCGCCACCGCCAGCGCTAACAGCCAAAGTCGCAGCGGCGTTCTTCTGAAATTCTTCCTCCCCAGGTGAAGGTTGACGACTTCCGGGTGTACGACTGCAGATGAAAGATATCGATACGATATTAAGTGACTGCTTTCGCGAAGTAAATAAAGGAGTTACGATTGTCGTATAAAAAGTATCTCGATATGACTAGCAGCTGTGATGCTGTTACAAATAACAGTGATTTAAGGGGACCACGAAAAAGATAAAAAGATATTATGCAATAGCCTTCGAAGAATCGAATTCTTTTCATATTTTCGTGCTCCATTTCACGCATTTCGCTGATTCATTGCGACTGACAGATGCTTACTGTATACGTCGTGAAATACAATGCGTACGCCGATGATAAACGAAAATATGAATCGTTTCATTGAATGTATGTTTATAAGAACCGAAGTACGTAAATCATCCGTAAGTTACAGTGCTACGTGTATGGAAAAACTTTAGGATACATTATTCATTACTCAATAAAATTGCAAATGCCTGCTTGTTACTCTAATGTTCTAATTGCTGAAACTAAGGAGAATGTTTCGTTCGATTACATAAATTTGAACATTTCAATTTAACTTTCTATTGGACAATTGAACTGTTTTGTATGGAGGAAGGAAAGGATCAATTGTATCGTTCTATGATTGCACTGACGTTCTCACTTTTTGTATAAATCAGTCATACAAAACGCTGTAACTGTAAGATAATCAACGTAACGGTTCATTTAACGTAACGATAAAATGCAATGTCCATGTCAACGGACCTATAGCTTTGAGCTCATGAAAAAGAAGAGCATGTCTAGACCGTGACGTCCGACAATGATGAACAAACATCATTACCATAATGGACTTCTTAAGCAGACGGGGTAAAACTACTGTTCAAATTCCGTTGTTCGTTTCCATTTTGCTTAGTACGTTTAACAACCTAATTATTATTTATATTCGATTCTTATAAGTGAAAGAATGATAATCAACTATAATTAGGCATCTTCCCATGTTAACAACGAATACTGTTTTGATATGAAAATATGCACAATTTCTTTCATTAAATTATGTAAAAATAAATTTTTACCAAACCAAGATTATAGTTATTACTGTGCGGTACTAAAAAAGACAGTACAGAAATACGAGTGTATATAAATTACTCAAGAAGTGTCGGTAACATCGACGTGGTAAATGGAAGGCAAGCCGAGCACCAGATGTCGTACAACGATGGTACAAGCAGAGAGTAAAGAGGCTAAGTTATGATGTCATCGTCCGTCAACTAGAGTAGAGTATGCACGTCCTTGACAGTTAACACTATTACGATCGTACTTCTCGCAGGAATAACAATTATTCACGAACATGTGACACATTTGTAACTGGCCAATTGGACTCAATTATATATAGTTATACAAGAATATCAAGCCGCATTTTGCTTCAAATCGCTCGCGCGAAACGTGGATACTTATACACCCAAAATTGCCTACGAAAACTAATCTGGGGAGTGTTGAACCTCCTTATATTTTTGTACTATCCTCTTTCGATTTCGCTTAGAGTCATACTTTGACACTTACTTGAAACCCTTATCGTCGTCAAGACCATTCTGGGATGCTAATCCATTGTTTTGTGGTCCGTTATCGTCTTTCGAACTGTCAAAAGGACTTGCCGAGCCCTTCTCTTTTTCTTTCTTGTCTGCATCAGTATTCTGTGAAGAAATGTAATATATTAAAATACGCTCATTAAATTTGTCGACTGTTGTATTTACAGATGAGTATATTTACCAATCTCAAAGAAACCATTCTAGGTTCCAGATCTTTTGGTGTCGTGGGACTTGAGCCAAGAACATATTCAACCATTTTAACTCCAAGACCACCAGTCTCACTGGAAAAAAAAGATTAATGAAGCGAGAAATAGTAAACAAAGATCTTTACGCATATTTCTATTTTTTAAAAGTATGCTAACCTGCTTCTGGGGCTGAGAACTGTTCCGACTTCTGATGTCTGATGATGATAACCAGTACCAACGCCCACACGTCTACCTGTGCCCATGGAAATTGGCTGGGAGACTGCATGATCTGGAACATATTAGAAATATATTTAATCACTGTCACGCTCATTTCGATTATCAGGCTTCAGCATAATATTACTATTAATGTTCGCTTGTTAGACAAGTATTCAATATGCTACCCCTCAATTTGTACCGATCATTAAAGTATCGATCGAGTTAAATCAATACAGATAATCATTAAGTTGAATACACCCTGTTTGCATACAATTTATGCTTGTATACTGATCAAAAGGAATATTAAAATCCTTGTATATTGGAAACGAAATATTGCTTATCTTCCCACGAAAGCGAAACTCGACGATCCCAAAAGGGAACGTTAACAATGTCTCGAAACAGCGTATCGTGTTCGTATCGCATCAACTAGTAATCGATAAAAGGCGTAGGGGGCGAGAAACCCGCAAAGGTGTAACGCAAATTCTATCATAAAAATGCCTTAACGGTATTCACCGCAGTAAGAGAACTGTCTCCCCTCCGAAATAGTTTATCAAGTTGTGTCGGGCTGAAAAAAATTTACGCTGAGGAGAAAGTCTGCGGAATATTTTCCAAGGAATGACACGAATTTTACATTTCCGTGTGACGCAATTTCATCGGATCCAGGTGTGTACACGGGGGTTGGTATATACCGGCGCTCAGGGTGGATCAGTAGGTACGACCCTGGGCATTGGGACGTTGCCCCCACCGCCGCTGATGCCGGGCGTCTGTCGCCATGGCAACAGCCGCGTTGCACCCATCGAGGTAACGCACACATGCAAGCTCGGCCCGCGTGCACATGGAAGCCGGTACATGCCGCCGCCGAGGATCAGGTGTTCCGTGCATATACGCTGCACACAGCCATCATCACACTGGCATCGCTCTCGCGCAACAACCCTGTATACGCGACTTAAGGCTCCGCAGCCGTTTAATGAGAAAGAACCTCGCGCGACCTTTTCGACCGCTTTTTTCCCACTCGCCTCGTCCTTCCAATTACAACGGTAATCCATTTAATTGACGAGAATTTCTGATGATTTTCAACCGGCTACGAAATGACCAGGAAGAGATCCGACAAGCGTAAATGTGCCTTACAGCAATTATAATAAACGAGCGATTACTCTGTACTTCTAACATGGAAATCCTATCCCCAGAAATAAAAATATAATCGCAACAATAGAATGATCTTCGCTTCGGCTGGCCACTGACACAGTTAACTCTACCCACGAACGAGAGGAAGATGGACTCGTCTGGATTAGAAGGGTAACGAGAAGTTTAAAATGGTTCCGGGAGTAAGGAGATAGCGAAGTTGGTACGCGGGCTCGAAAATACCAGAAGCCAGGGTGGTATCGATTGATCGTAAGGCAAGGGGAATGAAAGAGAGATAGGAAGAGGAAGAGAGAAGGGAAACTTTGTGGTTTTCCTAAAAGCAAACAGTTCGGGAGAGATCTGTTTCGGCGGAGTATCCAGATTATTGACATTTTGTTTAAAGTCGCGGAGACACAAGTATTTCTACTTTCGTCGTCCCTATGTATTATTCTTTCGGCGTGCTGTACCAATCAATAAGCGCGCACGGCGTGAAACACGCGGCGGTATCGCAACTCGCCGTTGCATCGTGGACCGTGGATACGTGACGTCCGACCGTACCGGCTACAACCTCGGCCTTTTATATGATTCATCTTTATCCCTAATTTTACCGGGCACTAAAACGCGCATCGAGCATTCAAGGAATCGTACGTCAGCCGTCGAGGACATTCGACTCGGCGGAGGTACACCGCTTCGTTTGAAATGAAAGAGGACACGCCATTAATCGGAATCAGCTCATTATCCGGTTGTTTGGACACGTCGCGACTCTCCTCGCGATGGTGAACAATAGCGGGGGCATCTGCATAACGCGAATATATCAGCTTCATTCATACTCTTTCGAAAATGGAATGCTCGCGGAACGAAATAAATTTTCAACATTGTTACAAATCCCTTGCCTCTAATTATCGTAAATCATCCTCTCTGAGAAAAGAGATAGGGAAATCAGATCATAAATCATTGATATCATTGAATACGGTTGAAGGACCCGATGCTCGAATACCTGAGATAATCAGTTCAATATCTTTTAGATTGCTGTCAACGTACGTAAAGAATACGATAACATTACGATAACACGATTGCAGATTTTACGCACTCGTAGAAAAGTTTCTTTTCGCGTCTAAATCTGCAGTCTAACGGTAATCCTTACGATATAATTATAGTTTTCATAAATCTTGAAAAGCGTTTTCTATGCGATTATAAAACGCAATGCATCGCGTTCCGCTAGTTGACCGATTCGCGCAACGCTGTCGTTTATTTCTTAATCGCATGCAGCTCCCTTTCGAGAAAAAAATGAATGCGTACAGTACGGCCAGCTTACCCTTAAGATTATGTAACGATCGGACGAGAGTGGCGTCGACTGAATGCATATCGACCAGAACCGTGCTTAAATTCGTGTCTCGAGAAGAACGAGACGAGGGACCACGATATTTCGAGGGGTTTAAAGGGCTTCGAGGATGCATTGGCAGGAAGCACATGAACGCCCGAGATTAAAGTCTGCTTTTATGCATGACCCCAGAGTCGGGTCCAGATAGATACATAACTATTCAAATACCGGTTGCACGAGAGCCGAAAACGAATAGACCGCTGTTAATGATCAACAATTAAGAAACGCGACAATGGGTTCTAATTTCTCCAAAAATTCCTTCAGCACAGGATGGGCTCGATTTCCAGTAGATTCGTAAATTGACCAGGCACGTATTAACGCCTGCCATCCATGAATTATCGATCTCGTTCACGGATTATCCCCTTCTCGGAACCATATCCCAAATGTTCTCGGTTCTATTGCCCTTGATATATATAAGTACGTTCGATGATACGCCTGTTATTACGCAACTACTACGGGCAATTAACAAGAATCTGTTTGCCCGTGTTTTATTCGAAGTGCGATACTGAGCATTTTAAAACTATATTGCAAATACTGGGAAAGCCTGACCTCCGACGCGAACAGGTACAGGGACAGAAGGTATAACGTCTATACGTAAAAGTGGAATCTAACCTGAGGTGCTCCAGGTAGAGTCTCTCCACATCTGGTGGTCGCCCAGGTGAAGTATCCCACCACCTTTTACACCCCCTTCGTCCTTGGAGCCGCCCTCGTCTACGCCCCAGAGTTTTTTTGCCGAGGGAGCGATCTGAAACAATATGAGAAAACGGGTCGTAAGTCCACGGGGTCACTGAACATATTTTTTGAGATCCGACTTGTGTACCGACACGGAACTCCCAAGGGATCTGTGAGTGCCTCGTATAACGAAAAATACTCAATTGCATTTAATTACACTAATGAACGCACAGAATCCGCTAAAATTAGCCGTCCAGCGTCGATAACGCTGAACTGGACACGACGCAGCACGTGCACCTTTTATTATCCCCTAATTACTGTTGTTTCGTCGCATGAACAAAATTTCGTGATACTATCGCTGCAACGATATCAATTTAAATCATGAACGAAGTAACTACATGATATAAGAATGAATAACAATAATTATATAAATATAGACATTTCTGCATAAAGAGAATGGCAGAACAGGTAAATATTCTTACTTTCATTTTACGAGACCTTCTCCATTTCCTTATAAATCACTTTTCTAATTTATTTCGGAGCATCATTTAGTAAAAATCGCTACAAAGCATCCGCGCTACGTCACGATCAAAGGTGTGACGTAGTTTCATTGCAAGTATCGACACCTTTCCTCCTCTGCCGACAAGTTTGGCACGACGATCGCAAAGTTTGACGCGAATAGACAACTATGTGTCAGAGAAAACTAAAAAGATTCGAATTGGAAACCGAGCGAGTCGTTTCTAGTCGTGACCTGAACTCTGCCACTGTTCCCGACCTCACCTAACTGGAGGTCAGTGACGTAACCAGAAGAGGCAGTGGGGATGCAGGCAAGCGTCGCCGGAGATTGCGGGATCCTAGATGCAGGTACACTGCATTCGCAGCAGTGACAGTGCAAACGGAGAGTGCAGCTTTCCTCCATGCATTTTCATTCGTATCGTCACTCGTTAAACGAAAGTCCAGAGGTGAATCAACCTATTCCATTTCCTCTCTCTACTAACCCCGACCAAAAGTTTGTGGTCAAATGTACTATAATACAATAATTAACTAAGCAAAGTGTTTGACTGACTATCGTATTGTCGCACTCATCAAAAAATGTTTATTGTCAGGGATAATAATCTTGCCTTTTCATCAATTGTACATGATCTGAATTGCGAGAGTTGACTCTCGTTGCCTCGGTGCTACGCGCCAAATTAATCTTGCGTAGTTGATGATGTTTAGGATTAATTCACAAGAAAAGAATGGACACAGCTGATAGTCTTAAAATTGTTGAATTAAAACCCCAACTACAATGTCGTACTGAATTTATTTACAAGTCTTTTAGACCTTATGGTGCGACGGTCAAGCTAGAACTCCTAGAGCTTTCTTGGTCTCTCGGTCTCGCTGAGAAGAATTGAGGGATGGGGATGTAGATTCTTTAGATTGTACAAGATTTCTGGACGGTTGGAATTTTATTGTGAAGATGCTGTGATGGGAACTAGGATGACGCCCTTTGGACGGATGATGTGGGAGACAATGTGCACAGCTGGTAACGATAAATAAAGGAAAACTTGGAAATGACTAAGGTGGTAGTGGCCGACAACGGTTTTGAAGGGAAAGCATCCGGTAAATAGCGAGTACCTGCGGGGACCTTTTTGGCAAGGTTATAGAATTGTTCATGAAGGAAGAAAGTCTTATCCCTCTTGGAGGTCTTTTGGTAATGACGGTGCGTAGGTCAGTTGGTTGCAAAAGACATATTTGCTGAATGTACAATAACAGATTGCGCAGCAGATGGGTGGTTCTGGACATAACGGTTTACGGCTGTGACTGAGGTACTTATCCTAAGTCGGTATTAGCAACGGAACAGTACACTTCTAAGAACACAGAAGACACGAGCTATCAAAATTCTGATAAATATTTCAAAGTTCCATAAGAAAGCTGGAAGCGTCATAAACAGTAGGCATGGTTAACGAGTTTTGCAAATGAGCACCCGCTGGATGCGATTGTGTCGCGCGTGTGATATTATGGCACACGTTAAATCGTAAAACGATATCGAGGGATCAGGTATATGCAGAGAACACGCGGTATCGCAACGTTACCGCATCGGCGACGATTTTAGCACAAACAGTTTCACACTTGCTCCGCCACGAATCGCGGTTCCCGATTATTTAATCGCCGCACCAAGAAGCCGCGACTCGAGCCTTCTAATGAATCGCGTGATTCATCGGATAGAGATTAAGAGGGAAAAAGGCGTGGGAATGCTTAGAGAGGCTGTAAGTACTTCCACCGCGGAGAGACAGGGATCCTCGTGTATATGCACATGCATACACGATATTTATATTTTATTGATCACACAAACGCGCGATATCACGAACAATGGCACGTGCGTCATGCATACTAGCTTTGGATATATCAATCACGAAATATCAAACGATGTTGTTTATCGCCTCTACGCGGTGTACTCGTAAGCGCGTTAATTATATCCCACGTTCAGGGAAAACGTCTATGCGAATCAGTCGTTATTGGTTGTTCATTAAAATTCCTACAAAAAAAGGACGACGTCGAACGAAACACGGCCAAACGAGAGCTCAAGGCGTCTGCCATAAAACTCGCGGCGAAACTCGTACGTCTTTTCACCTAGATCCGACAAATCGGCCGATAAAAGGGAATAAAACAAAAATCGAACGGGTCGTGCGGGTTTAGAAACCGGTTAGAAATCCCACAGGAGAAAACGTCGATCAAAAGAGACGCCGTGCGGCTCTAGTTGGAAAGCGAATTCGTTTCCATCATCTTACGGCACACGTTTTTGTAACCCGCATTTTGTTCCATTTCGAGGAGGTAGTATGTAAATATTTTACAACTATCTCTCCTAAACGACTGACCACAAAGGTGGGTAAAAATGTTCTCTGAAGGGATTGGTCAGCTACCTAAGATCTCGATTCGCATGCATCGATGAACGTGCTCGCTGCTCGATCGCGAGCGTATTAAAGTTACGTCGCTGATTTCCTATATTGCGCGACACACGCGTCGTCACGCGATACTCCGGATTCGCGACCTCTTTTTACCTAACAGGACGAAACGAAAGTAACGCAAGCCAAAATTAATTTGAAAGTTGTACATAAAACTTTGGTACGCATCGTAACATTAATACGATACCGATTCCACAAATACAAACTTAAGATTGCATAATGTTCTTCTAGTTTGTATACAAAGTCATGCTCGAGTCAGCTGGTTACATCGGTTTCTCTACATAAACATTCAAGGCAGAATGGCAATGAGAAATAGTGAAATGGTAAGGATAAGGTCCTTGGTCACAGCAGCTCAACTTCTCGTTAAAGTGTACGAGCAGGATACGGAATGAAACGGTGAACGAAGAACGCGTCTAAAAGTTCAGTAAGGTAAGGGTAAGGCTCGGTCAACTGGGGGCGATACGCCGTATCGACCGCGTCGCCAGCCGGCAGGGACGCGTTTGCACGTTAAGCACAACTGTAGAAAGAGACGGCGGGAAATCGAAAAGCTGGCGAACGGATAAGAGAAAAGTTCATCGCAGATTTTACTGTTCCCCGGACGAAAAGTTCTGTTATCATCACCACCTGATAGTAGCGTTACTAATAGTAAATAAGCGAAGTCTAATAACTAGAACAAAATAGAGAAAATGATAATTCTTGTTTCTAATGGTACGCGCTCTATTCGTTAGCAAGAACGGTAGCATTCCGTCCTGTAGAACCGGTCAGCGAAAACTCTGCTCGTTCAGCGAAGACAGAGGAGAAGAGCAAAATAAAAGAGGAGGGAGGAAGAGAACAGAGGAAAGGAGAGAGAAAGGAAAAAGGCGAAGCGATGCGAATGCTCGCCTCTCGTTTGCTAGAAGAGGACGATATCGTTCTATCCATTGGAACCGGCCGGCAGTACTTTTGCACGTTGGCTGCAACTACCTCGAGGGGAGGAAGAACCGGCGAAAAACGAGGGTGAACGAGCGTAAGATAAAGAGGTACAGCGAGGTATCGGAAAGGAAGAGGAAGAAGCGAGACGAAAGAGTCCAGGCTTTTTCATTGAACAAAGCTGGCGGCAGTTCACTGTACAGTACCGATGGAATAAAATAGGTTGGAAGAAGATTCGAACTTTCATTGAATTTAAGCAAGTTCTTAAATTCTTTCAACTTGAACGTAAACGAGTATTTCAGCTAAAATGACTTGAGCCGGTTCCTTGTTCACTTTCGATTTTCAAAGGCTATTACTAACTTTAAATTCAAGACATGTATAAATCAAATACATTGTGCTAAATGTGTGTGTAATCATCGAAATTTTTATCAAAAACTTATCGAGATCAACACAGATTTGTACGTATTAAAGCTTGATCCTATCCCTACTCCTAGGCTCCGTTACCGCACAGCTTCAATCCCCCACCAAATGGTTTCAGCGTCTCCCTACCCATCCCGCACACCCACGAGGTTCTCCCACCTTGGGTGCAGCAGCGTGGATGTCGTGGCTAAACTGCCACGGGGCCACCGACCCCTCCCCAGGCCCCTCGGCCTCGGGTCACGGCCACTGTCCTCACGGAGAATCAGCAGCACGAGGGAGGCGAACCCCGTTGCTTCTCTCTCTTTTCGCATCTCTTTTCCCCGAGACCCAACTCTTCTTTCCTAACCCATTCCGTCTCTTTCACCCGACGACGATACGTGCACGTATGCATGCGCTTGCGTGAGCCAAATGCGTGCGCAGAAGGGACGCGTAGCGTACGTACCGGCGAGGAACACGCGCGATCGGGGGCGGTTTTTGCGTTTCCTTCCCCCGGCTTGGATTTTAATTAGCGAGGAAATAAACTCTGCGTAACCAGAATTCAATTTGCTTGCCAAGAACAATGTTATGATCGACGTTTCTTTAGTTACACTCGGAAACCTGATAGCGAAACTCGCTATCAATAGATTGCATAATTCGAGCACAGGAGACAATAACGATGAATGAATAAAATATCATTTTTACAATGCGTGTCGTGTGTAAATCACGTGGAGTTAACACGGAAATTAATGCGAATGTGGCATTTCGTGATTAGCGGCATCGCTATCGGCTTTCCGTGTAACTCGACCAACTCCGTTTTGTG